CACTGGGGCCACTGGAGGTGGCACTGGTTGTGTATGGTCTGACAGCAAAGCTCTGCCTGATTACCCAGTAATTTCCACATTACTTAACGAAGAAAGCAAGTACTCATCATCTTAGATGACTCAATCCCCCAGTAAAATGTCACACAGTATAGATGCTATCATGGAGAAATGTAAATTTTCAGGATCTATGGTCATTGTAGGACACCAGAAAGGGTCACCTCACCAGCATCATCCAAGCCATGTGCCTGATGCTGGCCTTGCAGCTTCTTGGCTAGACACAAACATGAATGTTTTCCAGGATGTGCTGAAGAAATTGATGGACCTTTCAGCAGCTATAGACTCTGTCTTTTCTTCATCAGCACACTTCTATCAGCTGAAATGATGGAACATTTCTGATATAATGTTTCTGTTTTCCCATAAGATCAGAATATTATTTTTTTATAGCGTGTGTATTACAGGAGGAGAAAAAGTACTCATCTTCCCCTGTACCTGCATTGCCAGAACTCTGTCTCTTATGCACTGCACTCATCTCCCCAGTCTTTAAGCAGTCCATACTGGAAGTCACCTTTCTGGCAGGCTGTCTGAACATGTGCGGTCTCCATTTTTCTCCAGATTCCCATCTGGCTGCGATACAACAGAAGAGTGTCAAAAATGCCACAAGGTGCTGCTTGGAAGGTGAAGAGTGGGCATGAGGAGAAGGACATGACAGGGTATTGCTGTGGTGCCAGAGGTAACCCCTATGGAGTCTGTCGTCAGCCCATGCCATCGTGTTTCAAAGGAACTGCCAGGGAGGGTGGGCAGACATCCGTGAAAGTAAGGAAATTATGTGAGAGATAGGTGGAGAAGCAAGGTGGGTGCCTACAGTCTGCAGGGAAAAGGGGGCAGGGATAGGACAGTGCAGGACAGACTGTGGTGGAGAAGACCAAGAGCACTGGCAAGGCTGGAAGGCCCCAGCAGCACCATGGCCTTTGTCCCCTTGGCTATGGCAGTTGTCTCTGCTACTGAGGATCACGAGGACAAATGCTGTGCTCATGACACTGGGGCCTTGTTGCCTCCTTGCAACCCAGTGGGGAGGCCAGCAGGTGTCATAGCATTGTACTTCACACAGCATCACACACCCCACATCCCACTGCCCCAGGAAGAGCCTTGAGCCATGGGTGTGGGACAGGACCTCCCTGCCCAGGGGCTGGGGCCTTTCTGTTTCACCAAACAAACCAAGGCCTTTACTCGGCATCAGAGTCTCCTGCCCAGTGCCTTTGTCTACCTGCACTCATGGCTCCCAATTGTCTGTTCTAACAAGTCCATGGGGAGGCCTTGCCAGTAATGACCCTCCCTGGGGCCCATTAATACTCTCAGACACTTCAAAATATCCTTCTGACTTAAACTTCTTCTGCAGTTACATCATTCTCCTCTCACTACCTGAGGTTTATGGACTCAGCACCAAATGCAGCATGGGGCTCATTACAATTCAGCCATTTTCATCCAGTCTTCCAGACTTGTACAGTTAATTAGTGAGGTTTCAAGAATGCAGTTTAAAGAGAAAGTTTTCAATGACCAGATTTCTAAGAGCATTTTCCTTATTTAAGATTATTTTCCATTAGTTTAGAGTTTTCAGAAGAACTGATAGCATCATTCTCTAGTTGTCATGGATTCCATGTGCCTCCTAAGGAGGTCTGTATAGGTGGAAAAGCAGTCCCTTGAAGTCCTAGACTGTATGGACAACCTTGCTGCTCAGCTCTCCAACCCCACCACTTCTCTCTTTAGCCACCTGGGACTTGCATCATTTTTCCTTACACGAGACTTCTCCACTGACGTCCACAGAAGGGTGTTACAACACCTTTTCACCAAGACCCACCTCCTTTCCTCAGACAACTGGCTCCACACAGGCACAGTTTTTGATGTTGTTGTTATTAACATTTAACGACAAACAAGAAAAACCCACAGTCCCCAACTGTGAGCCAACTCCAAGTTGCCTCCGATGAGGTGCACCTTCCACAAGGGATGACTATACAAGAAATGTTTGACATGGGTAGGAAATGGGTATTGGGATGATGAGATAGAAAAGTGAAATATGGGCAAGGTTCAAGATCCCCCAAGTTCTGAGAACCAACTATGCAGGTGAGAGGTATCTGAATGATCAAAGAATGAGGGGAGGGGAATCTGGAGAAGAATGGGAACTGCACATGTCCAGACAGTCTGCTGGAAAAGTGACTTCCAACATGGTCTGTTTCATAAAGCCAGGTGTAAATACCAGAAAGACTAAGGAGATGAAGTGCAGAGCATAAGAGACAGAGTTCTGGCAATGCAAGTACAGGGGAAGACTGGTATTTTTTCTCTTGCTGTAATAAACATCCAAAGGAAAAAAAAATGTTATGGGACAACACAAACATTGTATTAGAAGTGTTCAATCATTTCAGCTGATTGAAGTGTGCTGATTGAAGTGAAATCTTTGAAATGCTTAAAAAAATTGGAGGCAGTGGGCCTACAGCCCAGCTCAGGTCTTCAGCCCAACTACAGCCTTAAAATGATGATTTTCTGTCCTGCATGGAGCCCAGTTACCATAAAACCCTCCCTGCCTTGGAGTTTTCATGCCACCCCTCACTCCTGGCACAGAGCAAATCTGTGACATGTTGACCTCTCCTGCCTGTTAGAGGCCCAGATGATGTAGGCAATGGTATCTGATATACCAAATGCGGGTACAGATATTGCAAACTAGGCATCAATGGAGGAAGATGTGATTGGTGAGAACTGATAAATGAGCAGGGGAATCATGTAAGAAAGGAAGGGATTAACGTGTTTTGAGGAGGATCCTGTGGAAGAGGAGGGGAGAGGGATGCAAGGGGCCAGCTGCGTGTGGATATGGAGCTGGTCAGGGCTGGTCTGGTCAGGCCCTGCGTCTGATCACTGTCCTACCCTCTCATTCAACTCTGTTGCTGGCTATTTGCTGTGTGTGTGCTCACTCCTGGGTGTGTTGGGGGTGAATCATACAATCATGGAACCACATAGCCCTGTGTGCGTCTGCACCCATGGGTAATTGCTGCTGGGGATGTGTGGAGCACTGGTGACCTTCAGAGCAGAGCAGGCTGAGGTGTGGAAGGGGATGAGGCCAGGTGTGTTGCTCATGGCTGTGTGTGTCCTGCTGGTGGTGTGGTGGCTGTGAAGGTGCTGTTCCCTGTTGGAGTTGGTCTGAGTGTGGTCAGCTGTGTCCATGCCCTGTGTGCACATCTGTGTATTTATGAGAGTGTGTGTTTGTGCATGCACTTGTGTGTAGTTGCCTGTGTAAATGAGAGTATTGGAAATTCTGAGAGAATTTCTCCGGCTTCCTGATGAAAGAAGAAGCTGGGCTTTGCTGGATCTTAGGACTGAGAGACATTTTTTGCAGCTCCCACAGATACAGAGGTGGTGAAAGGAGTGTTAGCATGTTATCAATATGCTCCCTTTTCCTGTGGAGCATACAAAGGCATCCAGCCATGGACAGGCCCAAGGAGAGGGCTCATCCTTCCTCTGGTCACAAATGCATTTCAGTCCTTGGGATGGACCCAAGATGAGGACTTGCTGATGACTCTTGGGCTGAGGTTCAACACACAGATTGGAGAAGACTGTCTGATGGACATGTGCTGGACACAGCCAGAGGAACAGCAGCAATCTGTTGCAGCTGCTGGACCATGTTTCCATCAGTCAAAGCCCTGACACAGGGCACAGGCATTGCTTTTGATGCCACCCAACTGGAAAGATGGTTGCATTAAGGGCTGGAGAATATAGGGCACCAACCAGTTCTTCCTCAGACACTTCCTAGGCTTGGCAAAGCACCAGGAAACCATGGACTTCTGCATAATAAGAAGCACAGAATCTTAGAATTATTAAGGTTGCAAAAGACCTCCAAGATCTTCTGGTCCAACCATCCCCCTACCACCAATATCACCCACTAAGCCATGTCCCTAAGTACTACATCCAACCTTTTCCTCTGCACAGCTTTCAGGCCAGTCTGCCCCAAGCCTGTAGCATTGCATGGAGTTGTTGTGAGCAAAGGGCAAGGACACAGCACTTAGCCATGGTGAACCTCATCCCACTTACCTCTGCCCATCAATCCAGCCTGTCCAGGTCCCTCTACTGGGCCTTCCTATACTCCAGCAGATCGACACTTCCCTCCACCTTGGTGTCATCTGCAAACATACTGGGGGTGCACTCAATTGCCTCATCCAAATCATCAATAAAGATGTTAAAGAGGATGGGCCCCAACACCAACCCTTGGGGAACACCACTGGTGACTGGTCACCAGCTGGATTTCACTCCATTCACCACTACTCTCTGGGCCCGGCCACCCAGCCAGTTTTTAACCCAGCAAAGCGTGTGCCTGTCCAAGCCATGGGCTGCTGGCTTCTCCAGGACAATACTGTGGGAGACCATGGCAAAGGCCTTGCTGAAGTCTAGGTAGACTATGTCAAGCAGGCTTTCCCTCATCCCCCAGGCACTGTCACTGGTCATAGAGGAGATGAGGTTGGTCAGGCAGGACTTGCCTTTCTTGAACCCATACTGCCTGGGTCTGATCCCCCGGTGGTCTCACATATGCTGCATGATTGCATTCAAGATGACCTGTCCCATCACCTTTCCTGGCATCGAGGTCAGGCTGACAGGCCTGTAGTTCCCTGGGTCCTCCTTATGACCCTTCTTAAAGATGGGCAAGTCACTACTCAACCACGACCTCTTTGCAGGACCATGATCACTGACAGATGATGGAAAGTGTCTGATAGGTGATGGAAAGTGACACAAGCTTCTGGAAAGCTTGGCAAAAACCTTGAAGAAACAGCCAAGCCTTCAGACAGTGCATTGTGGAGATCCCATTTTATTTTGCAGATCCTATGTAGGAGTCAGTTCTGACCTTCTGTTGGACTCATATCTGTAGAGCCTCAAGAGCAAACAGAGAAGTGTCAATCCCCAGCAGGAGTAGGGTGAAAAAAAGATAATTACTCTAAGAGCGCAATAAATCAAATGATACCAAAGAGAATAATAACAATATTGACAATGAAAGATGGACCAGGCCTGAGGGGAGGTACCAAGTTAAGTCATTTCTGGAAAAAGAGGGGAAATTTGTCACTATTCAGAAACATCCATGAAGTCACTTTCCTAATAGCCCACTTGAGCTCCCTGTTTCTCATGCTGTAGATGAGGGGATTCAATGTTGGAGGCATCACTGAGTACAAAACTGCCATCACCAGGTTTAGGGATGGAGAGGAGATGGAGGGGGGCTTCAGGTAGGCAAAGAAGCAGGTGCTGATAAACAGGGAGACCACAAACAGGTGAGGGAGGCATGTGGAAAAGGCTTTGTGTCGCCCCTGGTCTGAGGGCATCCGCAGCACAGCCCTGAAGATCTGCACATAAGAAAAAAGAATGAAAACAAAGCACACGGACGTTAACCAGACACCAATCACAAGCACCCAAAAACTCCTCAGGTAGGAGCGTGAGCAGGAGATCTTCAGGATCTGGGGGATCTCACAGAAGAACTGGTCCAGGGTATTTCCTCTGCAGAGGGGCAGGGAAAATGTATTGGCAGTGTGCAGCAGAGCATAGAGAGCCCCACTGCCCCAGGCAGCTGCTGCCATCTGGGCACAAGCTCTGCTGCCCAGGAGGCTCCCATAGTGCAGGGGCTTGCAGATGGCAACATAGCGGTCATAGGACATGACGGTGAGAATAAAATACTCTGCTGATATCAGAAAGGAAAAAAGAAAGACCTGTGAAACACATGCCGAGTAGGAAATGGCCCTGGTGTCCCAGAGGGAATTGGCCATGGCTTTGGGGACAGTGGTGGAGATGCAGCCCAGGTCGAGGAGGGCGAGGTTGAGGAGGAAGAAGTACATGGGGTTGTGGAGGCGGTGGTCGCAGGCTATGGCAGTGAGGATGAGGCCGTTGCCCAGGAGGGCAGCCAGGTAGATGCCCAGGAAGAGTGCGAAGTGCAGGAGCTGCAGCTCCCACGTGTCTGCGAATGCCGGGAGGAGGAACTCAGTGATGGAGCTGCTGTTGGACATCTGATGCCTCTTGGACTCAGGGTCTCCTGGAAAAAGGGGAATACCCAAGGAAGAAAAGACAGTGATCATTAGGAGATAAAACCTAATGCTCTTCCCATCCAAACACCCCTACAGTGACTTTCCCCTTTCTGAGGCGTTTCTTTTGCTCCCTTGCTTGAGGTCTGGTTGGTGCTGGAGGAATGTGGCCCTGGGAGCAGCGGTCTCTGCTGTGTGTGCTGGAGGATTCAGATCTGTCCTACAGCTTTACACAAAAAGAAACCGGAGTGATCTCTGATTAAATCTCTCTCTGATGTATTGGACTTCACAGTGTTACCACTCTCAACACTCTACTGATGTACTTGTGATTTACTTTGTTCTATCTGCATCACACTCAGGAGCATTTTTAGAGGGTAGAAAACCCTGGCAGTTGTAAGAAATACCAGGTGAGCTCTTGTGAGTCCCGGAAGGCAAAGTGACTGTCCTTAGTGCAGTGAGGATAGCCAGTCTGTCCATCTACCCTGGTCTCAGCCAGACTCCTCTAGGGCTCAGTCACGTTACTCACATCAAACTGCTCAATGATTGTGGCCTCAGAAAGTCCCTGGAAGGAGATACAGCTTTGTCCCTGCCCCACAGACTGCAATGCCGAGATTCCCACAGGTTAGAAGGTGAACTCTGGGCACCTTCCTCCTATGGACACGTCTGTGTGGTGGGACCCAGAGGGTCAGTGCATGAGCTGCAGCTCAAAGCCCCATCTCCCCATCTGCAGGGAGCCATAAAGCAAGAACAGCAGCTGCAGCTCCAAGAAGAGAGAGGAATGGCACAGGGCTTCTGCCAGGGGAGGCAAGGCCAGGGAGCAACAGGAACTCAGAAGGGCCCGCTGTGAGGGAGGTCCTGCTACAGAGGTTATGAGTCACATCCTGAATCCTGTGGGCTAGAGGGCAGACAGAGAGGTGCCAGACTGCTCTGTTAGCCATTCCCTGCCTATGGCTGTGCTGCCTGCAGCTGTCCCTGCCTGCAGCGGGGTCTCTGTCTCCACGCCTCCTGCCTGCAGCTCACAGCCCCCATCCCACCTGCTGGGTGCTCAGCTCTGCCCTGCAGACACCTGGCAGCAGGGCTCTGCCCAGGGGCAGCTCGCTGGGAGCACGTCCTAGAGACCAGGTCACACAGACCCTGCTGACACTGTGCAAGGGGTGGTGGAGATTTCTGGATAGGGATTTACTGGGGGTCCTTGTAACCTCCTTAGGATGCCTTAGGACTGTCAGGCTTTTCTAGAAAATAACATCATATATTTCTGTTTCTACTGAACCTAAAACAGAAACTGAAAGGAGAGGCTAAAGAAAGATGAGAGTGAAATTCTCTTGGTATTCTGTGGAGCTGTGAGCAGGCTGCTGAAGGGAACAGCCTCCCGCCAGCAGCAGGACCCTGCCCTGCCTGGGGGGCTCCTTCCACCCACAGCTTCTCCCCGCAGCGCCCTGGGCAGCTCCCCGGGCAGTCTGAGTGCTGAGCCTGGCAGGCGGCAGAGGCCCTGCCCCGGCACACAGCCCCTGGGGCACAGCAGGGACCCTGCTCTGCACCACAGCCCTGGACACCCCTGCCTGCACCCCCTGCTTCACAGTGTGCAGCTGGCCCACGACAGGGGAGCCCTTGGGGCCTGGACAATGACTGTACGGCAGGGAACCCCTGAGCTGGAGCATGTCCTTCTCTACAAGAAATAGACACGCTCTGCCTACAGCCTCATCTGCTCTGGAACAATCCAGGTCTAGGGCACATCCAGGATACTCCAGTGCATTGCAATGCACTTCGACTTACCGTGTTAAGGGTTGCAAGCATTGCTTTTCCATATACTCTCAGATTTCTAACACTCCACACAGTCTTTAACAACTCTCCCTTTTCTCCCCTCCAAGTGCCAGCTGCAGGCAGTGCCCCCAGCCCTGCTGCGCTGTGCACAGGAGCTGCTCCTGGGCAGAGCTGTCTCTGTGCAGCGCTGCCCGCTTGCCAGGAGCTCCCCTTGGGCCCAGGAGCCCGGCCCAGCTCAGCAGCAGAGGCCCAGCCCAAGGCCTGCCTTGCTCTGCCCCCCACCAGGCTCCCTGCACATGGCCCTGGGGCTGCAGGGGAACCTGCTGGCAAACAGCCTGAAGGAATCCCTGGGGTTCCTTCTCTCACTTGGCACACACATTTCTTGACAGCAGAATCACTTCTCCTAAAATAAAAATAAAGTTAATAAAACCTGTATAAGATTCACCTTCCTTTGTTCTGTCCATGGAATTGACAGCAGGCTGGGGGAGCTCTTTTGGGTGAAGGTCAGAGGAGAGACAGGCAGGGGGACAGCATGATCGTGCGCTGAATGGTTGTGGATTCTTCAGAAGAGACAAGCGAGGATGATCAACAAGAGGTTGCTCCATGTGAAGAATCTGTCTGGATGCATGGATCTCTTCTATGGACTGGGCAGCAGACTGGGGGAGCCCTTATGGTTTAGGGACAAAAACCAGTCAGGGTGACAGCATGGCAGGAGGTAAATGTCTGCAGCCAGGATGAAGAAGTGGGCAAAGTCTTGTGGAAGCCATTGGAGTAAGTTGAGTTCAATGACTCCATGTCACCGTTGGGGAGTTTAATCACAGAGAGTCACAGGACAGTGACAGTGCTCGGTGCAAACATTCCCCATGTTTTCTGTGGGTTCTTGGAGACGGCTTCTGTGCACAGCTGCCAGATGGGCCAGCCTAGGTGATGTTCACCAGGATCTGGACTTGCAAACAGGAAAACCTGTGTCTTGACACTCCTCTTGCACAAGGCATGATATAGTCCAGCTGCTTTTCATCACATGGAAAGAGATGAGCTTTCATGGACAGACCTACACCCAGCGCTGCACATGCTCGCTCTTGTCTTTCCCTGCAGCCCACTTGACATGGTCCAGCTGACACAGGACCAGGTAAATCTGTGCGCAGTACGGTCAGGGGCTGTAGTCCTGCCTTCAGCATGCCACAGGTCTCCTGAAATGAGAGAGCTTAGATCCTAAATCAGGATGGGTTCCTCCTCCATTGTGGACACAGAGACACAAGTGGTCTCCTGCAGGCAGATCTGGCAGCCCAGCTGCAAGGGGCAGGCTGCCCCCCCACCTCAGCCTCTTCTGTGGTCTCCACCTCCTCTGAAGGCCCAAAGCTGTGGGCCATGGAGAAGCTGTGGCAGCCTACAGGAGAGCACAGCATCCATCCTAGACCATTCTCCCCACTCCCCTTTTTGTCTGCAGCACTGCCCTACTCCTCTCTCTCATCATGACATGTTGAGCGTACATGAATGTCTGCCCTTCCCTCGTGTACCACCTCTGCCTCCTGCATGGCAGACTGGGGGATGGTACTGAGGCCCTGGCATGTACTCCAATTCACTCTGTAAAACCCATCCTTCTTTCAGAAGTGAGTTACATGCAGTGAAGAGTTCAGGCACACGGAGGGGCTGTTCCAACCCAGGTGCCTTTGCTCCCATCTTTTGAAAAATCCAAGCCCCAGGACAAGCCTCAAACCCAACCATCGTGGGAGGGCTCCCAACAGCAGAAGCATGTTGGTCTAAGGGGGAAGTGGTGATATCTCCAGCGCTCCACTGCCTTTACTCCATGGCCTTTGCCACCATTTGGAGATGTCCCTGATCTGTTCCTGATCCCGAAAAAAACTTGGTAGAATGGAAGTCACTGTTTCTCAGGACAAGAAGGGAAATCTCTCATGTCTCTCCTGAGCTGTGGAATCTCCATGCTGCTGACCTCACAGGCCTTCTAACGACACGTGATAATGTCACAGGGGGTGCACTGCATCACCAGGATATCGTCACTGGAGCAGCGGCAGTGCCGGCACTTCCCTGCAGGGCCTGGTCCCTGCTGGGCACTGCTTGGGTCCTCCCCACCGCTGTCCTTCTGTGGCCAGGAGTGGGGTCAGCAGGCAGCAAGCTTGCACTGGGCGACCCTTGCTGACGGGCAGAGGAGCAGGGGCACCTTGCAGAGGAGCTGTGGTTGAGGAGCCAGGGCGGGCATCCCTTGTCCTGAGCTGGAGGGTGACCATTGCCTCTGACCTGACTTCCCTGTTCCCAGTGCTCCTGCAGCTCTACTCCAAAGGTAAGGGTGTCAGGAACCTCTTTCCAAGATGTGTCTCAAGAGCTGTCAGCTATCCAAAGCTTCAATTTCTGGGCTTTGGTGGGAGGCTGGAGAAGGCTGTTGGCTGCTGTGAGAACCCTGCCTGAGTGTCCCTCTGACCTGAGGGGACAATGTGGCAGCCAGGACTGCTGGGTCCTGATGCTAGGGATGCCCTTATCCCTAGGGCTTCTCTAGGCATGCCTCCTTGCTATGGGGGACAATCCAGGGCCACATTTCCCTGGAAGCTGGTGCCTCTTTGGGATCTGTCTCTAGGAGGAAAGGCATAGAGTCATAGAATCATGGAATGTCCTGCGTTGAAAAGGACCTTAAAAATCATCTACTTTCAACCCCCCTTCTCTGGGCAGGGTTGCCAACCATCAGAGCAGGATGCCCAGAGCTGCATCCAGCAAGGCGTTGAATGCCTCCAGGGATGGGGCATCCACAACCTCTCCGGGCAACATGTTCCAGTGCCTCACCACCCTCTGACTGAAAAAAGCTCTCCTAATTTCTAGTCTAAACCTCCCCTCTCTTACTTTAAAACCATTCCCCCTTGTCCTATCACTACCAACACATATGAACAGGCATTTCCCCCTCCTGTTTATACACTCCCTTCAAGTACTGGAAGGCTGCAATGAGGTCTTAGCGGAGCCTTCTCTTCTCCAAGCTAAACAAGCCCAGGTCCCTCAACCTTTCTGCATAGGAGAGGTGCTCTAGCCCTCTGATCATCTGTGTGGCCCTCCTCTGGACCCGTTCCAAGAGCTCCACATCCTTCTTGTGCTGGGGGCCTCAGGCCTGTACGCAGTATTCCAGGTGGGGTCTCACAATAACAGAGTAGAGAGGGACAGTCACCTCCCTCTCCCTCCTGGCCACTCATTTTAATGCAGCCCAGGACAGAGTTGGCCTTCCGGGCTGCAAGCGCACACTGCTGGCTCATGTGCAGCTTCTTGTCCAGCAGGGCCCTCGAGTTCTTCTCCACAGGGCTGCTCTCAAGTTCTTCTTTGCCCAGTCTATATAAAGACCTGGGATTGCCCACGTCCAAGTGCAACACCTTGCACTTGGCCTTGTTGAGCCTCATTAGGTTCTCATGGGCCCAGTACTCCAGTCTGTCCAGGTCCCTCTGGATGGCATCCCTTCCCTCTATTGT